AAACGGTCATAGCATAGCATGTCGAAAAAAGTCAAAAACGGTCATAGTATAGCATGTCGAAAAAAGTCAAAAACAGTCATAGTATAGCATGTGACTGTTTTTTAGCATGTCGAAAAAAGTCAAAAACAGTCATAGTATAGCATGTGGATAAAAGTCAAAAACGGTCATAGTATAGCATGTCGAAAAAAGTCAACAGTATACACTCATAGTATAGTATGTCAAAAAACATGGGGGAAGAACAAAAATGATCTGACAACCAGAATAGGGAAAGCAGGGGAGTATGTATGTGTGGGGTGATGAGTAGATTGCAGGCAGGTGAGTTGAATGAGTGCAGTGTGGGGTTGGCAGGGGAACGAGCCAGGGGCAGGTGATTGAGCACAGGTGAAGCGAATGAAAGCAATCAGGAGACACTCAGACACAGAGACACAGGAGGGAGCCGGGAGGAGACCAGGGGCGGAGCCACAGGAACACAGGGGGCAAAGCCTAAACCGTGACACTACTACTACTACTGCAGAGGACATTTTCAGCTCAGGTTCAACTACACCATCTTTTCATTAAATACATTTGAGAAGTTGAAAATTTTCCTTGATTTGGGTCGCGGCTTGTCATTAAGGGGTGATGGTGGGTCCCGTAGCTAAACCAGTTGAGAACCACTGCTATAGAGGGTCGTAACAAAAGTCACATTATAATGTGCCATGAAAATATCGAAAAAATAAAATAATATAGTATGTGTCAACGCCCGGGAATTGGGAGACCAGACAAGTTTAAATGTCATCAATAAGCATATTTATTCACAAAACAGCAGAGAACAGAACAAACCTGAAAGTCAAGAATCATGTACGGAATTATGAAAATGTCTGCAGCAAACAAAAGAAAAATGCGAGTAGCGCCAGCAAGGAAAGCCCGTGGAAGGGTGGTGAGCTCTCATATCAGAACTAACACAGAGCCCAGGTAGTCGCTCATCAAGTCGACGATCCGGATCCTGCAAGACAAAGAAGAGTCAGCGAAACAAAGACGCACAGACACCTAGTGGAGTGGAGGAGTTGTCACATAGTCATAAAATAATGTAAGAATTTTATGTCCGAATATAAAATGACAGTTTTATGACATATTTTTATATTCTATACAATTACATGTTTTAGGACATTCTACACAATAAAAAAAAAAATACTAAAATGCTTAAGTTTAAGGGTTTTGGTCGATATGCCACACTAACTCAGCCGTTAACAGTGTTTCATTTCAGGAAGTGTATCCCCTAAGCTCCCTATTAAATGCAAATGTGATGTTGTCAAATGTCGAGGTCTGTTTGTGTTCCTCCCTCCCTCCCTGCGGATAGAGAGGTGTGCATTTCGGGGACGCACAGTGACCTAGAAACACAGAGCCATCCCCTTATTCAAGTGAAGGGGTTGCATTCACGCTCAAACGGTCAGGGTTTTTACCGTCCCTTTCAAGTGCAGTGAAACAAAATGACCTGGAACAAACAGGTCTTTAATAAGCGCTGTACTGGGGCCTGCCCACAAGTGGCTTATCGTTTCACTATAGTTCCACAGGACTCTTAACCAGGGCAGTGCCAGGCGAAGAGTGCAGCGGTTCACATTTTAGGGTTTCATCTTCTCAGAATTTGTAATTTTTGCTTCTCTTACATTTTAGTAAATTGAATATCTGGGGGTTTGCTCAATATCTGTTGCTCGGACAAACAAGTCATTTGATGACCACGGGCTCTCGTCAGATGTGGGACTGCCAAGCTCATTGCAGTGTGGTCTTCATCAGGTGAGTCATCTCTCACATACCCACAGCATCACATCTTCTATTTACAAAGAAATGAACATAAAAGACATCCAGTCAACCAATAAAAATTCCTGCTTTATAACGGCTAAAACCCGCCAACTGATGGCTCCTCTATTGTGAAACCAGTCTGGGCTCCAAAGAACCTTGTTAAAAGATCCTAAAAGATAGTTTTACACAGTGATGAGAAATAAATGATAGAGCAAACAAGCGACATGTGACAACAGCTCCTGGTCCCATAGTAACCTGTGTGTCTGTGTATTCAAGAGGGGCACTCCGAGGTCAAATCTTTGTCTTTTTTCCATCACAGCAGAGCCAAAAACGATGGCAAATCTACGGCAACTGGGCTTATTGTGCCGCAAATCTGTATACACGCGCCGAAATCTAGGGGCCTATAACCTTTCCACTGCTCTCTGACATTTCACAATATGATTTACGACTCCACAGTGATGGATGCACCTCGCTCACTTGACGTCTCATCTCTCTCAGAGGTCGGGGTCAGTCTCATCTCCCCACCCACACGTCTTGCCTCATCTAGCCTAGCCCTACTCCTAATGTCCGCATCGACGTACACACAAATGGGACTGTGTGCCGAGGTAGCTGACTGATGAGGGGACAATTATCAGTGATGTCAGTGCAGTGGAGAAGCATGTTATCATCCAAAATCTATCAAACTGTAACTGCCTCTAATGAATGGAGCATCATTAGTGGGACGCACTAGATGGTTTGTCAAATAGATGATGTAAGCGCGATGGGAAGAGCAAGAGACTCACTCAGGGTCATGATTTAAGTTGTACTCCTCCGGTACAGCGCAGGCACTGCCGCATACAATTCTCTGTGTTCTTCGAGGTAACTTGTAACCTGCTCAGCCTCACTTATCTATCTCTAAGACGTACACTCCCTTAACGTCATACACACACACACACACACACACACACACACAGCAAATGTACAGATGTAAACATGGAGGGAGGAAGCTGAGTGAATTCAGATGATAGTGGACAAAGGCTTCCATTCATGGGACAGAAACTGACTGGACTGATCAGGAAGAAACAAACTAACTATTATTAATCTTTTGTTAAATATTTGTTTGAGGTTAAATATTTTTGAGTTCATGATACACTGTACCACCATGTACAACATATTAGTTAAAGAGTCTTTTTGTCCTACATTGTACTATTGTGTTTAATGGCCCACACACCTCTGTGTGTGTGTATGTAACATACAGATACGGCGTTGGGAGGTGACTTCATCCGCGTTCCTTTACAACAGGTGGGGCGAGAGATGAAAAGGTGAACATTTGTCAACAAAAGGTTTTGAAACTATAGCAACCCAGGTCAGCGGTTACCGTGGCGACAGCCACAGTTTGCATTCCCCACGTAGGCGAGATTGAGCGAGGATTCACCCTGCCGTTTGCTCGACGCCCAACTCAAGACACTACACAACCTCTCTCTCTGCGTCGGTCACTACCTCTTCGTGTTCGTCAAATAAACTCGTCGTGTGACTTCAGCCTCTGACAGGGCAGCTGGTGACAGAGTTTGAAGGCCGTAAACACACACACTGTTCACCATCTCAAGGCAACTTGAGACGGCTACCATGGGCGTAATCTCCTTTCCTCTCTACTCGGAGCAGGGTGCGTTACTGTAGGAAGGCTGATCGTCTTTGACAGGTGCACAGCGAGGGCAGGAGGTCCAGGGTTGGGGGCCTGTCAGATGTAAAACACACAGGCTTTGATGTGCACTTCCAACGTGCTGGAGCCACAGCACACTGATGCAGCTGCAAGACTTGCATCAGTGGACAGATCAAATCAGCACTGAAAATGTAATCTGTGTGTGTGTGTGTGTGTGTGTGTTGGCATTAGTGACATTTTAGGGGACTTAGATTTACAAAATGAAATGTCCATCATTTGGAAAACAGACACTTTTCAAAATACATTTTTACTTTTACTTCTGAGGTCAGTCTGGGTTCAACCCCCTCAAACTTCACTATACACCGATTCAGACACATGCTCCTCAGTGATGCTGCTGCTGATGATTATGGTGAAAGATGAAGGCCATTACTGCCGCTTGACCTACCTGCTTATGGCGAGAAGAAGAATCAAAGGACCCAAACAGACCCCCCTCCGCTCTCCGCAAGCTGTTTTTTCAAGAAGAAAAAGCATCCAGATTATTACAGATATCGGCTCCTTCTATAGCAGTCAGCATAGGGAGGCCTCATCCCCTGCTAGTGCTCCCTGCAGAGGCCTCGTTTGTTTCCCATGAGATGAAGGAGGAACTGCTCAAATAAAAGCTGACCTTGCAGAGTTCACAACATCCTCAGACATTCAGGCTCCTTGAGCAAACAAAACATGAAAAATTCTTGCAAAATGTCTTGCAATGTTTTCCTAAAATGAAGGAAAGCTTCCTTTTGGACGTTGGGTTTTGCAGTGATCTGAAAAATATCTTTTTGCACCGCATGAATAAGAGCAGGCCTAAAAATAGGGCAAAGCAACATGATGTTATCAGCTTTTGTGAATTGTAATCTTCACATTAGAGGGTAATCAATAATACTAATGAGAAAAGATTGTCATAGACATGCCTCTCTACGATGTCAGTATGAAATGAATCTGTAAAGAGTTAGCTATGCCTATGAAGCTAATTAACATATATTTCATTTTTTCAATCCATTTAAAAACAGAAGTGTAAAGACGTCAGGTTGTAGTTTTACGGTGGGTTATGTGCTGGACTATTTCTTGGCACCTGGAATCTTGCCAAGCAATAACATGTTGCTTCTACACTTCTTAAAAAGTGGTGCTGGAAGGCAGAGGAGTATTTCAGCTGCTTCCCACTGTCTTTATGCTAAGCTAAGCCAAGCCAACGGGCTACTGGCTGTATGTTCCTATTTAGTGTACAGATAGTTCAGGTATTGAACTCACGAGAAAGCGAAATAAGCCTGAATTTCCCAAAATATCAACAGCTAAATAAAAGAAATCTGATAACTCAATTACCTGATCACATGAAGGTACAAAGCACAACAAAGAAGTGTCTGGATATTTAGAAGATTACAGTAGCCTGAAAGAGAAAGAGAGAAAGAGAGAGAGGTGAGAACCAAAGGGTGGCTTTACAATGCTCAGCGGGCCCCTTGGCACAATTGTCTGGAGACCTGCCAACTGCTCACATTCCTGCCTTTCTTTTGGGACTCAGAGGTCTGGGGTGGCAGAGTGGCTGGGCGAGACTGGCATCAGGGTCACACTAAATCTGCAGGGAGAGGGTAAGAAAGAAAATGGGTAAACAACAATAAGACAGGTGAGAAGAGCGAGAGAGAGAGAGAGAGAGAGAGAGAGAGAGAGAGAGAGAGAGAGAG